CCCATAGCTTGCAGTTTGCAGTTTGTCCTAGCTGCCATGTGGCAGTCTGGTACTACTAAGTAGCAATCATTACACATTACACTGCTCAGCAAAACAAGCAAATTGCTTCCTCTCATCCTTCTGCAACATACCAGAGACACATTCAGAGGCACCAGAGGCCACAGTAGTCTCAATTCATTCATGGCCAATCCACACAAACCATATCTTTTATGCATAACCATTTTTTTAGCATTTTATATTTTCCTATATCCATATTTGTCATCTCTCTAGGTAGTCCATACCTCAGTGCAAGAATAATATAAGTAATTTTCATTTGTCATCTTTATTTTATATTTTTGTAATATTCAATTTTCTGTAATATAACCTGTGCCACTGGTCTCAGTGGCCAGAAATAGGATCTTGAGCATAAAAATAGCATCCTCCCTGGAGCTGGTACTATTACAGTCATGGCACACGGATGGTACATTTCACACTCATTTATCAATGAAAATAATGCAAAGGCCCCTTCCTAAATGCTAAATGAGTCTAATCACCCTTCAAGAGGTTTGTGTTGCCAGATTTCCCCATGATGGCATGTTCACATCATGTGAACATATTTTCATGACGTTATGGTCACGTCATCCAGATGGTAGGGGTTAAGGAGTGAGGCAGGATTGTGTTCTTGCACTAATGCCTTTTAACACTGACATGGACTGGATAATGGGCAGTACTTATATCCAAAGCTAAAGGTGTATAAATCCATTATGATGCCAGTTAAGGAGTATGAGATGTGTTGTTAAGGTAACAGATTTCAGTGTATCAATTATAATCAAACATTACATTATTGTGCTACAAATATGGAGTTATTTTTTTTTTTTTTTTACATCCTAAATTATCCTTCATGCCTTCAATCATTATGATCAGGATCATATCTATTGTAGGTCTGTGCTAATTAACAGCCATAAAAGAAATAATAAATATATTTGCAATATACTAGTACCTACTAGTGACTTACAGAAGTTGCTAAATACTAATTAATAATTTGTAAAATAAGATAAAATAAATATTTAGTCACTGAAAATATACTAGACTTCTATCCATCTAGCAAGAGCATTTGGAGATGCCGGTACCTATGCACGAGGACCAAGCTATGCGTATTCAAGGCCTTGATACTGAGTTTTGCTTTAATGAAGTGAAAACTGGATGCTGTCTAGTGCCTTAGAGTTGTCTTGATGCCTTTTATAACTGTTCTTGCACTGAATCATGGGTTATAGTTAGCAGGGCCATGCATCCAACCGACAGTTACATCATGAGATCAGCACAGGTTGGCACAGGACCTGTTACCTGCATAATCCAGGCCCATCAACTCAGCCAATAAGGGCACCAACTTCCCTGTGGATGACTTTGCTTATCAGGTTGTCTCTTCATGAGACAGTCTCCGGTGGAGGAGGCCTGAGGAACAACCTAGGAAGTTATGGCTTATGGAGATCAACCTCACCTATCATGAGGAGCTTGGCAGCTCACCATGACCCTCATGGCTGGAAGTGAAGGGTGAATACGACTATGTGCAGAAAGTGAAGTTGAGCCAGTCACCCAGGGAGGCAAAAATACATGCCACATACAGAGCAATTTTAGTTTAATAAATGTGTCTACACATAGATGGCTCCATAAGCACTTAGTTACCAAGGCGTCAATTATTAGTCCTACCTATTTCACCTGCATACCCTTTTCCTATAATATCAGGTAGATTCTTATCATTTTATCATCTTTTATTTATTTGTTTTTTTTCATTTTATTGAGTTAACAACATTATAATAATCATAATGTCAATAATAATAAAAAAATAAACAAAACCAATATCAATAGTATTAGAAAGAAAGAAAGAAAAAAAAAAATCCTTCAAATTCAAGGAATAGGGAAATCAGGTGCAGTACTTGGGCTTACTAATTGACTCCTTAAGAGAATAAATGTGTAACAGCAGACACTGATAATTAGCCAAATGTCGTTTTGACAAGCACATAGTAACACATGAACTACTTTGGATATCGCAGTAATGTGTAAACAGTCAGTGTTGTATTATTCTAAGCAAGGTAAACAAGAAGTGGGACTTAGAATCTAAGTGGCGATAGCAATGTATAGTTTCGTCATTTAGCGGTAACTATGAGGCCACTGCAGCTTAAACTATATTCTATCCTATTCCCATCTTCTGCTCTATAAAATGGTGGTGTCCATTTCCCTCTATCACTGCGTGTCGTTCTCTTTAACTTTTACCCAACCCATTACTTATTCTTCTTATTATTGCGGAGTTATAGACTCCCTAAAGAGATGATATGGAGTCTGTGCAAGGAAAACAGTCTATCAGCATCTGGCTAAAGTAAATCAAAAGGCAAATATAGATACTGGTAACTGACAAATAAGCTAAAAACACTTCTTCCGAAAAAGACAAAATAACATTGCAAAAAGGAGGCATGGAGTCTTCTCAGTTCTTTTGCCCCTGGCATACAAGCCGGACACCCGGCACAGTGTCAGATCATGTAAGCCGAATGCCTTCATTTAGGTCCACATGATGGCAGTGAAGCATCTGGATCCAGAAAACCAAATTGTGAGTCTGTCTTCACCTGAGTATGGCCAGCAAAAGCTGAAACTTGGGAGTACCAAGACTTAGGGTGTACACGGCACTTTCCATTATGATTTTCCATTATTTGTGATATTACCATTCATGTTTAGATTATTTCTTGTACTGACAACTACAACTTTTTGTCCTCTACAAGGATATAATCTTCAATTTGCCCTAGCTTAGTACATCCATACCACAGATATTAACCCATGACCCTATTCCTGCCTGCCATTACTGGCAGCACAGAATGTATTTTAGAAAACTGAATAAAAGAATAATAATAAAAAAAAAAAAAAAAAAAAAAAAAAAGTCACAGATTGCATATTGTGTAAACTACCTGAGGAGATTATAGACCTCGGAAAATGGCTAAACAATGAAAGTGAGTGTCTTGATACCATGCAAAAGTGTATGTGCAGGCCAGTCTATGCATCGCACATCTAGGTAAGTTGCCATTCAAGTCAGCCTAACGTCTAAATTTAGATGTGCCCGGATTAAATTTGTTAATATAGTGTTGGAAAGAGAGAGATTAGACGTGTTTGCTCTTCCCCCACAACATAGGTGAAGTTCCAATAAAACATTGTTAATGCTGCGTTCGAAACTCCTCGTCTTACCTCATCAAGACAACTTGTCCAGGACCAGCAGGACAACAAGGTCGCATTCGGAACCTCCAAAACCCTCGCTGCCCAGAATGCAACCAGCTCAAGAGTAAACACTCACTCTTTTATCAAGCCGATGTCTTTATTTTACATGCTGCATAAAGTTTGTAACTCCTTTGATGTATATTTAACTTACCTGCAATTGACACACAAAAATATCCTTTGATAACATCAATAAAGGGCCATAAATTACCCATCAATATCTTGTGGTTGCCTGCAACTGTCAGTGTTTACATACAAATACTATTGTGACATCATCTCGTCCTGCTCCCCTAGCTTTGTAGGAGGGCAAGATGGACAAGTTGAACAACTTGTTCAGGAGGAGAAAGTACAGGTTCTGAAAGGTCAAAACATTTTGTCCAACTTGTCTGGATAAGCAGGACGTGGAGTTCCAAACACAGCATAAGATTAATTTAGTCTTCCTTTCAGCATTATTGAACACTTTCATTGGTAGGCATTTACATAATGACTGCACAAAGATAACGGAAATCTTAAAGACACTTTAGAAAGTGGGGAAAAACTACACAAACTGATATATGTAATATGCACAGGCAAAGAATAACATTAGAAATGACAAAAATAGGTCATGACAAATATTATGAGGAGACTAAGTCCATGGTGATCAGGTTGCGGTCAGAAAAAAACTCCCAAAGCCTCCAAGTTAAGAAGTTTTTGGTTCAAACACAATGTCTGTGGATTCCCAAGAGTGCCTCCAAGGTTGTAGGCTGGAGTAATGGGGACTAAATATCAGAGGGGTGCAGTCTGGTAAAGACATTTAAAATATGGTAGAGACCTGCAGTCGTCCTGAAGGCTGACCCACTTTTACTATTGAATTATAAGCTTCCCTAGATATGAACCCCTATTCATGTTGGCAGATGTAGAAAAAGTATGCATGAGAATGAATGAATATCTTCACAATACAAGAGATGTATATGACCGGTTTTAAAGATATTCATCCTTATTTATGCCTTTTCTCTATTTGGCCTCTTCCCTGAAGGAACTGAATCCATCAACGTTCCCATTCCATGTAGTGCTTACCTTGTACTTCAAATCAGTTTGAGACAAAAATTATGCAGTGAAATGACTCCCCTTTTTCCTATACAAGGCTTTCATAATGAGCTTAAAAACTGAATTCATACGAAACCTCGTTCCTAAAATTAGTTGCTCGGAAAACATTTTATGTATATAGGCCGTTAAAAATCTATCTCATAAACAAATTGTCTTGTCCTTTGTCTAAAATTGCACAGCAGAATCTCATGATTTAATATTTCTATTAAAGCCAGCGATACAACACTTAGAAACAGCTCTACGGGTGTATTTTTCATGAAACCACTTACTTAAAAAATTCAGTTTTTTATGTTTTGTGAGAGCAGTGTGTGAAAAGGATCGTCAATCAAAAAATGTAATGATGTGAAGCTGCAGAGATGCGCTATATAAAATTACTCACTGCGCATTAGCCTTTTCTGTGCTTATAAAGAGATCAATCATGAGTTAATTTTCGCTTGATACTGTTCATTTGCACATATGATGAACGTTTAGCATATCTCAAATTGAAAAAAAAATCTCGATATATGGTTTATTCCCCGTATGTCTTTACCTGCCAAAGCAGAGAACAAAGAAAAGACAAAAAGAAATTATCATTTACAGATTTTCAAAGATCAGGTAAAAGGAGAGGAAAGATATTCATTGCATCTGATTTCCGAAAAAAGCGAATACTCATACGCTAACAAAAATATAGAGAAAATTACACAAATTGCAATCCTTGTTGAGCATGTTGGCAAGCCTGTCATGTGACAGTCTCAGCTGATACGGTGTAAACAACGCACGAAGGACGAAGACATCAGAGTGCGACTCGACCTGGAGGAGAACGGAAACGAGGCGAGGGAAGTCGTCGTCATGAAGATTATTGTTCTGTTGTGTCTCTCGACAATTAGTTTTGTGAATTCGAAGCCCAGTAATAATTTACCAGTAAGTAATAGCGACTTAGCAACGTTGTGCAGTGATATTAAATTTCTTTGTGTTAGATATACACTTAGAGGCAATGGGTACACATGCACTTATTCCGTCGTCTGCTGTGCACGCAAATGATAAAAAGCAGACGTAATGGATTGGTGATATTATCAGTGTTGTACTTCCGTATCATTAGGCCAAAGTTAATGATAATATTGATTATATTTTCCCTATAAATAATGTTTCAAAATACTCGAATGGCAGCTTCTCAAATGCCATGAATGAGTCATGACCATGATAACCCGGGATATGCTATTCGCAGAACGCAAGAACAAAAGACGTACTGGTTATTTGATCTTTACTGACAGCGAGAAGGAAATGCTTACAGAGATGTGACGGATTGTGCAAGGCAGCTATTTCTGTTATAATGAACACGAAAAGTTGGTAGGAATAATCTGTAATTATTAAGAAAAGTATTGTTTATAGCACGGTAAGACTTGCATTCCTTGTGATGTTTGTCTATCTGTCAGCCTATTAATCTGTCGATGTAGCTGTGTGTATGATATATATGTATATATATATATATATATATATATATATATATATATATATATATATATATATATATGTGTGTGTGTGTGTGTGTGTGTGTGTGTGTGTGTGTGTGTGTGTGTGTGTGTGTGTGTGTGTGTGTGGTGTGTGTGTGTGTGTGTGTGTGTGTGTGTTGTGTGTGTGTGTGTGTGTGTGTGTGTGTGTGTGTGTGTGTTTGGCTGTGGTGTATGTATATATATATATATATATTATATATATATATATATATATATATATATATATGTGTGTTGTGGTGTGTGTGTGTGTGTGTGTGTGTGTGTGTGTGTGTGTGTGTGTGTGTATGTGTGTGTGTGTGTGTGTGTGTGTGATGTTTGTGTGTGTATGTGTATGTATGTGTGTGTGTGTGTTATATATATGTGTGTGTGTGTGTATATAAATGTGTGTGTGTGTATATATATTATGTGTATATATATATATGTGTGTATGTGTTGTGTGTGTATATAATATATAGTATTATATATATAGTATGTATATATATATATATATAATATATATATATATGTGTTGTGTTAATTGTGTGTTGTGTGTGTGTGTGGGTTGTGTGTGTGTATATATTACATATAATGATTATATATTAATAAAATATAGGATATATATATATAATATATATAATAGAGTCTACATTATACTTATAGAATATAAATTTATATGATATAACATACATCATATTAATATAGTGTATATATTAATATGTATTATATTAATTAGTACATATAATAATTATTGTATATAATGTATATATATAATAATATATGTATATATAGTATAGATTATACTTGTATGTATTATAAATATGATTTATATATATACCATATATATATATATGTGTGTGTGTGTGTGCCTGTGTTTGTGTTGTGTGTGGTATGTGTGGTGGTGTGTGTGTGTGTGTGTGTGTGATGTGATGTGATGTGTGTGGTATAAATTATCAGTAATATATGTAAATATATTATAGTGTATATATATAAATGTGTATATTATATGTATAAATATATGATGTATAATATTTTATTATATAATATAAGTATAATATTTAGCACAGTTATACTATATATATTATATATGTGTGTGTGTGGTGTGGTACTATAATGTATAATATATGTGTATAATAAATATATGGTGTGTTATATATCATGTATATATTATGCTGTAGTAGGATAATGTGGTATACGCAAATAAGTGTAATATATACACACAACTGTGTGATATATATGCTGAGTATATAGAATAGGTATATGTAATTATTGATTAATGAAAAATAATCCTCGATTATTACTATGTATACTATGTAATATGATAATGTATGAGATATAATTAATTATAGGATAACTAACTAGTATAATATCACTATTGTAAATATAAGAATAAAGATAAGCTATAACACGTGATATTGATATTTTTAGTAAGTAGTGATTGTGTGTGGTCGTGGATGTGTGGTGATGATATGTGGGTACACAGTGTGTCTAGTGCTGTGCTGTGTGGGTGTTGGTGTGTCGGTGTAGTTGTTGAGTGGTAGTAGTGTGGTAAAAATTGTGTATGTAATAAAGTATATGTAAATGAGTCACTATAAAGGGTGATTGTAGGGGATATTAGTAGATGGAGTGTATCTTAGTGTAAAATGTAATTATTATTTATAGAATATGTTATGGATGTAGTGAAGGGGTATAAGAATTGTTCATACAGTATAGAGTGAGTAAGTACGAATATTATAATCAATATATGTATATCAATATGAGGACGAGGATTTAATATATAAATATGTGTATAGTATAATGATAGTATAATATTAATATAGTACATATATTACTAGTATAAATAGTGTAATGAATTGTATGTAATATATAGGCTTAATGGGGGAGTATAAATGGTGTATGACGGGGTATATAGATAGTAGGCGTGGTTAAGATATATAGTGCCTAATTGAGTATGTATTTTTATAAGGGTGTTACAGATAATGATAATTAAAGGGACTGGGTATAGAGATGTATAATATATGTATTATCTGGAGAATATATTGTACACAGATAAATAGAATGTAAATATTAATATATTGATAGTGGTAATGTATATTATATATATATATAATAATGAGGGGACTAGGTAATTGGTATAAGAGAAATGAAAAGTATGTATAATATATAATATACAGGGCCATACATGATATGAGTATAATAGGGATACAAGCAATATATATAATACTATAGGTGTGAATGATGGGAATATATAATAAGAGGGTATAGTATACAGGGAGTATGATATAGAGGTACAATAACATACATATATAAGATAAATACATATCATACATATACATAACATAATACAAGTACGATATACATATATGAATAGATGGGTATGGGTATAGATGATATATATAGGTGGTGTGTGGTGGTGTGTATGTATGGTATATTACTAATATATTGTATTGTATAAGATATGTATCAGTATGGAGTATAAATAATAGTAGTGTAGATATGTATAGTATGTATACTATATATGTATGTATATATGTATGGTATGGTATAGGGGAAAGTATATAATATGTATGTAACGTATGTATGATATGTATAATAGTCTTAGTGTAGTATATATAAATGTATGGTATATGATAATGGTATGTAATAATATAGTGTATGTATAGTGATTGTGTAATGGGAAATGGATGTGAAGTAGTATTATATTATAAGTGGTATTGTATATGATATAAGACAGTTGGGTATGGTTATATGGATATTATGTAGATGTATAGTAGTGTGGAGTATATAAATTGACCTATGTATATAGTCAGATGTAATGTATAATTATAATATGTTCCATATATAGGAATAGTATATATAATATGTATGTATAATAGTAGTAGATTTATGTATGTATAATATTGTATTATGTATATATGTATGGTATGGTATAAATATAAGTGTAGAGTTTTATGAGTGGTGGAATATATAGCTTATATGTATATATATAAACATATAGTATATATACAATATATATAGTACAATTATATAAGGCATCATAAGAATAATACATATGTATAATATAATACGGGGAGTACTAAATCCATTATTATATGAGCATATAAATATAGGTTCATACATGGATGATTTACAGAGCTAATAATATAGATACAGATATAACATATTATATTATATATAACTACATATATGATATAGTTGGATACTATATTATAGATTATAATAACATACATATACATACGGTCAGAAGCGGCACATCCACACGTCAACGGACCCTGGCATGCACGGAAGACCGGCGGCTTGAATAATTTTGATTGGCAACCGGTAAACTAGTGGATGAAATGAAAAAGAGCAGGCACAGTTTGGAATTTATCTACAAGTGCTTCTTGGCCATTGTGAAAATACAGCTTTAACTCTTACCGTAGGGATCCGTTTTAAGTAGATCATTTTTTCTGTGGGGCTAATGCTCATGAGGCCGCAACGAGCTGTTTTGTAGTCATTTTCGAGGAAAGGTAGCGTGCCAGCGTGTGTTAGATTTTAAAAGAAGCGATGCGTCGGACAGCAAGCCGGAGCGGGGGAGACGGGTGTACACGCGGTAGCAGGTGTATAGACGAAAAAGTAAGTTTACAGGAGTGAAGAGAGCGGGAGGGCATAGCAACGAAAAAAAAAAAGAATTTATTAATTGAAAAAAAAAAAGTTTTGGGGGGCCAAAAAAAGGAAACAAATGAGCGCGGTGGTCAGTGGCAAATGAGAAGGCTAGGGCCATATTGACAGCGACTGTTGGTGAAGGCAAATGATGACCTATAACAGTAATGCCAATAACAACAAACAGTAACAATCATAATGGTAACATCAGCAACTGAAATCATTATCTGAATTAGGTGAGCGGGAATACAAGGCCTGGAGAAGCTCTAGTTGTAGCTTCGAGTTGGCTGTAATGTATACAATTCCAAATTCCCTTTTCGTCAAAGTGCACATTCCTTTTCGATGGTCGCCGGCTGGTAATGGGTAGGGTCTGCATATATACTTTTTTGACATATATAGGGTATCGTGCTGCTGTATTGTGAAAGGTAGATGCTAGCCATTTTTCCCAGTGTTCGTCCCCAAGTTGAAGTTTCTGGTCGAAAGGAGTGTGCTTCACTGCCCTGTATAGCGAACCTAATTACTTACACAGCAATTTTGTTGTTCGAGTATTTCAGGCATGAAATTAGTGTTTGCGTTAGTTGTTTAGAGAGAAAGATGAAAATAAAAAAGCGCTTCGCATCTTCAGCAGCACAAGCACTACACGATTGGAGTTTTCTTTATAGTTTTGTATTTATTTCCATGATTGATAAGTAAGTGTTACTTAGGTTTTTACTGTGTCTGCGCGAGCTATTCCAGAGATTTGTCACAGTTCACTGCTTCTCTTTGTATGTTTTTTGTTTTTTATGTATGTTGTATCTTCATTGTCTTCTCAAGTCATGTGTTTTTACCCGTCTTTCTCCCAAGTACACCTTGAGATTTTTTTTTTTTTTTTGCATGTATGGAGAGAGAGGCTCATATCTGCGACATGAATGCCTCCCCTTCGTTTGTTGCAAAGTTTTGTAGAGTCAGATACTGTGTGTGAGCACTTGAGGTGTCGAACTGATAATGGCCCGTATAAGCTTACACGGGCCGACTGCAGCTACAGGAAACAGACACTGGGAGTTAGGAAGCGACACAACGGAGCTTCAGTATTGGATGAGCGAAAACATCGGTACTGAGGCCTTTAGATGTGACAGGATTATGGTTGCATAAAGGATGAAGAAAAGGTTAAGATGTAACACAGGCTGAAATCACAGTTTCTTACGAAATATTTAGCAGGGTGTGATTACCAGCTGTGTTGGACCTTGGTTATCAGCGCACAGCACACCCAACAACTAAAGTTGTGATGCCACGCCAGACCTGGCTCGAAGAGATCATGCCCTTCTTGCCCTGAAAGGAGGCCCACCTTCAAACTACCAGGACATAGTCAGGATGGTTCGAATGCGCGGGGGAGGGAAATTGCGGAAATCAGGCAAAGAAGTGCTATCATGACTGAAATGTACATGGAGAGAGAGTGAGGGATCGCTTTTGTTCCTGTTGACTTGCCGGTTTTATGAATAGGTTGGACCTGCCTTCAGAAATAAGTCATCGTCTATCATTTCGAAAATAATCATGAAATCTTATCACATAGTTTTACTTTAATTCCTTACCACATTTTCTATATAAAATTCTTAAGCATCGTTGGAACTGACTCTTCATATTAATATTCGTCAGACGGAAATGTCCTTCATTTGCATTATCCCAGAACCGTATGTTAATATATGGCTCTGCATTGTCCTAAGCAGCTGCTCTCTCTCTCTCTCTCTCTCTCTCTCTCTCTCTCTCTCTCTCTCTCTCTCTCTCTCTCTCTCTCTCTCTCTCTCTCTCTCTCTCTCTCTCTCTCTTCTCTCCTCTCTCTCTCTCTCTCTCTCTCTCTCTCTCTCTCTCTCTCTCTCTCTCTCTCTCTCTCTCTCTCTCTCTCCGTCTTATATCACCTGGATCCAATGGTAAACTTTTGATATGTTATTTGGAAAATAGAATAATATCCATGGCAATATTTCATACGCAATTATATTTTCCAAATGTTTACAGTTTCATGACAAAAAATAACGGAATGAATATGTAAAGCACGAATTGAACAGGAAATATCGCAAGCAATGGGTTTCTTGAATAGTTTGGACTGGATGTTGTAGTTCGCAGGAGGAACCCAAACGAAATAAAATAGAAAACAAGGGAATCAATCCCTATTCCTTTACACCTCATTACCCTCCAAGTTTTGTGGCGTTATTTATTATTGTTTGGTAGTTCAAGAGGCGATATTTGAGACGATACATTATTCACACCCACAAATATTGCACATTGTGTGTGAGAGAGAGAAAGAGAGGGGGTGGGGAGGAGGGGACGCTAGCCTGAAACAGCAGAACACTCACTCCTTGCTTTGCCTAGCGAATTCAGATCATCCCCTTCCTCGTCCCCCCCCCCCCTTGCTAACTATCGCCCAGGTTGTTTGAACATGGGCTTCCTTTCAGGGCAAGAAGGGCAAGATCTCTCCAGGCCAGGTCTGGCGAGGCGTCACCGCTTTTGTTGTTGGGTGTACAAACCACATGGTTCTGACTTAACGGATAAGTCAGCGCGTGATTAGTGCTGAGCGTGTGTTCTGAAAATATTTACACGATGATGCGAATCATAACATCTACAAAGATAACATTGCAAGAGCAGACACTCACATCAGCAGTTGGCAACAACAACTTCGACGGAATAACAAAAGATCAAACACGGGATTGCAACACATCCCTCTGGCCCCGTTTCTTTGGCTGTGCGTTGCTGATGTCAGCGACCGTCAGTTGAGTCACTTTAACGAGTCTCTTAGTTTAAGGATCCTTCGGGAACGTTGAAACAGCAGTAAATTGTGGCTAAGCCAGAGAGGTACTCACAGATATTCTAAACGGTTGTTTGATTATTAAACTATAATTTGCTATATCGCACGGTTCTAGACGCGAGAAGGTAGATACAGCATGATTACTGATTAATTCTAACAATGATGTATGACTTTAGTTTAGGAATATTGAGTCTAGAGAAGACCCCACAGGGCTGTTGCTAGCGAATATGGAGGAGACTGATTACTTATCCGACAATAGTATTGTTTTGTTGAGCGCATACCCGCTAAAGCGATAGACCAGTCGGATAGAATACCTGGAATTTTGAGGGGGGGAGGGGAGAAAAGAATGCGGCTTTCTTTGAGCATAAACTAGTATATGGGATTCTTAGTTTTGAAGTTTCGCATAGAAACAGTTTTCACAGAAGGAAAATGGCCGAAAACAAGTTCAAATACACTACTTTATATATATATAATATATTATATAATATATATATATATATATATATATATATATATACAGTGTGTGTAGGTATGTATGTGTATATATATATATATATATATATATATATATATATATATATATATATATATATATATATATATATGTGTGTGTGTGTGTGTGTGTGTGTGTGTGTGTGTGTGTGTGTGTATGTATATATATATAATATATATATATATATATATATATGTATGTATATATATATGTATATTTATATATATATATATATTATATATATATTTATATTATATATATATATATATATATATGTATATATATGTATATATATATATAATATATGTATATATATATATATATATATATATATATATATATATATTGTGTGTGTGTGTGTGTGTGTGTTGATGTATACATTTATTTATTAATTTATTTATATTCATATATCAGTCGAAATATCTGAGAGGAGACTCTACTGCAGTTACCTGTGTCAGAATGTCCTCAAGACTCCACTCGATACATTTTCTTATCTTTCACCGGCATACTTGAATCATCACGGGGCCGGCTTGATGACGTCATGGCTTTAGATACATTATAAGCATGAGCTGTTATTCAGAGCAACGGCCAGTGTGTTGAAATTGTGCGAGACTCGAACCAATTAATATTCAAATATACGGACATGTACAAACACAGATATGAATGCACATTTTCTATCTGATACATATACATTTATCAATCTATCAATCTGGTAGATATGCATGTCTAAACTGATAGGTATGTATTTATTTCTGTGAATGTAATAGTCCGTATAATGAATATTCTTTGGACCTCGGATAATTTTAGGAAACCTGCCGTTACCCTGTATTTAGGGTCGCAACCGAAAAAAAAACCGTTGGGAAACACTAGTTTAGGCCTACAAGTGTGCGGGCGAATGTGTTTTCGAATACAAGAGCCGACTCCCGAGCGGTGGGTTTCACAACGAACTGGGGATCGGGGAAACGTTAGACAAGGTGTCCATCTTTTGAGTGTAATGCGAGTAGGATTTTTATCGAATATATTGGGAGAGTCAAACACTGAAACAGGGTTTTTTCGCACACATACTTTGGCTTCTTGCGGAATATGCATTATATCGCATTTCCTCTATTCATATAAATTTCTTCACAAGTCAAGAACTGTTGTGTTTTCAGTGCTCCCTCGAGGGCTCAAAGATCAGCTGAACTACATCAATATTTCGTTTCTTTCTTGAAGACGATGTTCTGCCGGGAAGTTTAGGGAGCCGATTCTGCCGAAAATATTTTTGAAAATGTGAATAATTTTTTTTTCTTTTCTATCTGTCTCTCTCTCTCTCTCTCTCTCTCTCTCTCTCTCTCTCTCTCTCTCTCTATATATATATATATATATATATATATATATATATATATATATTATATATATATATATATATATTCATATATACATATCACATTATGAAACTGAACCCTAGGGAAGAGGATACCAAGGGCCATTGAGCACTTTGATCGCCCGGATGTTCCAGAAGTTCTTTTGCAGTCAGTGCTCCGGAGAGGGAACAGAAGATTATTCTCACGTGAAATTTTCTAAGACTTATATATTAAATATGTATGTGTGTATGTATAATATATATATATATTATATTATATATATGTACACACACACACACACACACACACACACACACACACACACACACACACACACACACACACACACACACACACACACACACACACACACACACACACACACACACATTTTAATTCACTTCAAAGGCATCCCCTTCATTCATTGTAAAAGAAAGGCTGCATCCTCTTGGAATTCCTCTCACCCAGTGTGCGTGTCTCTCGCGAGGGAAAACGCAGGAATCGCAGTTGTTCGAAATCAGTGTCTCTCAAAGCCGTTGTCCGTTATGAATCCCATCAACTATTTGAATATATTTCGTACGACAGCTGACTGCCAGCTTTCTTTTTTCAACCACCCGCTTTTTCAATTCCTGCCACATAGGTGCCCGCTCTAGTTTTCGGTTCAAAGATATGTACTTCATAAAACTTTTTTTTTTTTTTTTTTTTTAATTGTTGATACTCATCGTAAGCAGTTCGTCGGCGGCACGAATCTTTTAGAAATATATTGCCATTTATAAGAGTTCGTACACAGTAGTATGGTAAGAAACGAACAAATTGTAATATTTTGTAAGTCAATATGGAATTCTCTATTTTTGCTGCGGATGCGTTAATAGACTAACTGTTTGATTATGCAAGATTTTTTTACAACTGGTTTTAGCACTAGCCACGATATGGTGATGGTAAACTACGAGTATTTTAATATGGGGAAATTAGATATCAGCGAACCATATTTTAACATCTAATTTTCTAGAACCTTATTGAGTTTTCCATTGCAGTTCCACTCGTGCGAAACTCAGGCCTACCCACCGAAGCAAAGGTGAGTATAGTTAGTGTATAATGAGCATAAATCAATTTTTTTGATGTGTCGGTAGTGAATACTGAAATGAATGCTGGTTCAGACGTTTCGTCAGAAATTTTATATCTTTATATGTAATTCTCGTTTATTTCTCCTGTGTCGCTCTGGCTATTTTATTGTATCCATATTAAATTCGTTACACAAATTTTGATGTCACAAAATAGACGTTTAACCGTTTTGTCAGAAAATTTGTCTCAACCCTACTTTTAAATTTTTTTTTTTTTCTCTCTCTCTCTCACTCTAATATCCCTCTCGCAGCAAATGATGTAACGGTGGTAGTTGGACTGTTTGACCATGTGAAGACCTGCCTTTCCTCGAGCATGGGCAGATTTCTCATGGCGGGGCTGAAGGTTTCCCAAAACAAACTTTGGCAAAGCAAAGTCCTATTTATGGATCGGGAACAATAAGGGGAAACACACGCACACACATACGCGCACGCACACACGCACACACACACACGCACACACACGCACACACACACACACACACACACACACACACACACACGCACACACACACACACACGCACCACACACACGCACGCACGCACACACCACACGCACGCACACACACACACACACACACACACACACACACACACACACACACACACACACACGCACGCACACACACACACACACACACACACACACACACACACACACACACACACACACACACACACACACACACACACACACACACACTGATAATAAATGAATAAATAAATGAAAAATGATAATAATAATAAAATAGATAAAAATATACATGAATAAATAGACAGATGAACAATTAACAGGAAAAGAAAAGGGAGCAACATTCCCTCAGTGCGACTTAACCTTTTTCGATGGCCGGTCATTCGAGGTCAGGCGAG